ATAAATACTGAGCTGACGCATCCTGAGCTCAATATATACTGATCTGGCTAAATATATACTTAGTTGGCTCAATATATACTGAGTTGGCTCAATATATACTGAGCTGGCTCAATATATACTGAGCAGGCTGAATATATACTGAGCAGGCTCAATATATACTGAGCAGGCTCAATATATACTGAGCTGGCTCAATATATACTGAGTTGATGCATCCTGAGCTCAATATATACTGATCTGGCTAAATATATACTTAGTTGGCTCAATATATACTGAGTTGGCTCAATATATACTGAGCTGGCTCAATATATACTGAGCTGGCTCAATATATACTGAGCTGGCTCAATATATACTGAGCAGGCTCAATATATACTGAGCTGGCTCAATATATACTGAACTGATGCATCCTGAGCTGGCTCAATATATACTGATCTGGCTAAATATATACTTAGTTGGCTCAATATATACTGAGCTGTCTGTCAATATATATTGACCTGTCTCAATATATACTGAGATGGCTCAATATATACGGAGCTGGCTCAATATATGCGGAGCTGGCTCAATATATACTGAGATGGCTCAATATATACTGAGCTAGCTCAATGTATTTTGAGCTGGCTCTATATATACTGAGCTATCTCAATATATTTCAATGTGCCTTAATATACATATACTGAGCTGGCTCAATATATACTGAGTTTGCTCAATAAATACTAAGCTGGCTCAATGTATATTGACTGGCTCTGAACGGGATCAATATATACTGAGCTGGCCTAATATATACAGAGATTCTTCTATGCATACTGAGATGGCTCAACATATACTGTGCTAGCGCAATATATACTGATCTGGCTCAATATTTACTATATTGGCTCAATATATACTGAGCTGGCTCAATATATACTGAGCTTTTCGGCTATATACTTGGTGGCTCAATATATACTGAGCTTGCTCAATATATACTGAGCTGGCTCAATATATGCGGAGATGGCTCAATAAATACGGATCTGGCTCAATATATACTATTATATACTGAAGTGTCTCAATATATATTGACCTGCCTCAATATGTGTTGAGCTGTTTTTATGCATTTACCCGAAAATCTTTGCATATGGCTGCATGTGCTGCGAGTTTTCCCAAGTTTAACAGCATGTCAAGTTCACTCATTATCGGGAGATGGCTGGCATTCAATTTTTCGAAAGTTCTCCACAACACATGCCAACACACACGCACACACATTAACAATTATTTTAAAACATTTAACTAAACACATGATAATGGAACGAGCTTTTTTTACCAATCATGATGCAGAATCTGGCAAAACCCGCAAGTAGATCAATGGATAATTTTGTAAATATGCTAAGCAAACTTCCACTGAAACCATAGCCTGCCGATTTTATCAATATCCAACGTGAGTCAGACAAGAAACTTTATCCTCATCCTTAACAAGGATTATAAAATTTCCCATGCACTTTAGTTCATTGTGAAGAGGCAAAAACAAACATGAACAGTTTTAAAACTTTGCCTTCACGACTGCATTTCATTAAGCCATATGAATTACAAGGAGGCCATCTGTCTCTGGTTAACTTCGGTTTTCTACCTTCCTCTCTATTTCGTTCTTCCCCTCTCTGGAGTTCGACAAAAGTTACAAGTTCTGTTCGTGCTAATTGGTAATAATACTTTTAGGAATTTATATCTGGTCACACCCGCCCGTCATCTGTCTACGTTGGTCCCCCCATCCTTGTCGTCAACTTCTTGCCCCTTTCCAGCCTCTTCAATACAAGTTAATTGTTTCGAAAACATTGTTGAACACGTTTTGTTTTAGTTGGCACTTTGTGGCCAATTACCAGTTCATTTGTAATGCCAGAACATGCAGATTTGAATAGAAGGCAGGGGGAGAGAGTGATACGGACAAGAAGTTTTTATTCATATCCATTAAAGGGACAAGGACAACAATGCTCACAAAGGAGGAAGGGGAGTAGTAAAGATAGGAGAACCATAAATTTGAATTGATAACTGGGGAAAGTCTCGTTTTTACGTTTCACTTGCTTGCACCTTCAGTTTTGATCACAAGTGACCACACCAGATTCAATATTCTCATAACTTGTTTTTTTTTTCTTCTTCTTGGCATACCAGCATAAAAAAGTATTTTCACAACAATGTAAATTTAATTTAGCAAAATAAAGAAACATTTTTTATTGCATAACTTATCAGCATAAAATAAAAAATATGTACACTGTTGCATACTTTTAGGATGAAATATTTAAAAATGTAATTGTTATAAGAAGTTTTGTTGAAAATGGTAAATTTACTATATAGGCTGTGTTTGGTGCTGAGGGTGGCTCAGTTGAATACTGAGGTTGCCTTAGTTTCGATATTGAGGCTTGCTCAGTTCTGATGCCAAGGGTGGCTCAGTTTCGATACTGAGACTGGTTCAGTTGACTACTGAGGCTGGCTCAGTTGACTTCTGAGGCTGGCTCAGTTGACTACTGAGGCTGGCTCAGTTGACTACTGAGGCTGGCTCAGTTAACTACTGAGGCTGACTCAGTTGACTACTGAGGCTGGCTCAGTTGACTACTGAGGCTGGCTCAGTTGACTACTGAGGCTGGCTCAGTTGACTACTGAGGCTGGCTCAGTTGACTACTGAGGCTGGCTCAGTTGACTACTGAGGCTGGCTCAATTGACTACTGAGGCTGGCTCAATTGACTACTGAGGCTGGCTCAGTTGATTACTGAGGCTGGCTCAGTTGACTACTGAGGCTGGCTCAGTTGACTACTGAGGCTGGCTCAATTGTAGACTGAGGCTGGCTCAGTTGTAGACTGAGGCTGGCTCAATTGTAGACTGAGGCTGGCTCAGTTGACTACTGAGGCTGGCTCAGTTGTGGACTGAGGCTGGCTCAGTTGTAGGCTGAGGCTGGCTCAGTTGTAGGCTGAGGCTGGCTCAGTTGTAGGCTGAGGCTGGCTCAGTTGTAGGCTGAGGCTGGCTCAGTTGTAGACTGAGGCTGGCTCAGTTGTAGGCTGAGGCTGGCTCAGTAGTAGGCTGAGGCTGGCTCAGTTGTCTACTGAGGCTGGCTCAGTTGTTGGCTGAGGCTGGCTCAGTTGTCTACTGAGGTTGGCTCAGTTGTCTACTGAGGTTGGCTCAGTTGTCTACTGAGGCTGGCTCAGTTGTAGACTGAGGCTGGCTCAGTTGTAGACTGAGGCTGGCTCAGTTGTAGACTGAGGCTGGCTCAGTTGTAGACTGAGGCTGTCTCAGTTGTAGACTGAGGCTGGCTCAATTGTAGACTGAGGCTGGTTCAGTTGTAGACTGAGGCTGGCTCAGTTGTAGACTGAGGCTGGCTCAGTTGTAGACTGAGGCTGGCTCAGTTGTAGACTGTGGCTGGCTGGCTCAGTTGTAGACTGTGGCTGGCTGGCTCAGTTGACAACTGAGACCTGCTCAGTTTACTACTGAGGCCGGCTCAGGTGACTACCGAGACCGACTCAGTTGACTACTTCGGCCAACTCAGTTGAAAACTGAGGCTGGCTGGCTCAGTTGACAACGGAGGCTGGCTGGCTCAGTTGACTACTGAGTCTGACTGGCTCAGTTGACTACGGAGGCTGGCTCAGTTGACTACTCAGGCGGGCTCAGTTGACTTCTCAGGCTGGCTCAGTTGCATACCGAGGCTGGCTCAGTTGATTTACTACTGAGTCCGGCTCAGTTGATTGACTACTGAGTCCGGCTCAGTTGATTGACTACTGAGGCCGGCTCAGTTAATTGACTACTGAGACCGGCTCAGTTGATTGACTACTGAGACCGGCTCAATTGATTGACCACTGAGGCCGGCGCAGTTGGTTGACTACTGAGTCCGGCTCAGTTGATTTACTTTTGAGGTCGGCTCAGTTAATTAACTACTGAGGCCGGCTTAGTTGATTGACTACTGAGGCCGGCTCAGTTGATTTACTACTGATGCCGGGTCAGTTGACTACTGCGGCCGGCTCAGTTGACTGCTTAGGCTGGTTCAGTTGACTGCAGAAGCTGACTCAGTTGACTGCTGAGGTTGGCTCAGTTGACTGCTGAGGCTGGCTCAGTTAATATACTGAGGCTGGCTTAGTATATATACTGAGACTGGCTCAGTTCACTACTGAGACTGGCTCAGTTGTCTACTGAGGCTGGCTCAGTTGTCTACTGAGGCTGGCTCGGTTTCGGTACTGAGGCTGGCTCAGTGTCGGTACTAAGTATTTCTGTTTCTCTTCAGAAGGGTTCTGGGGTGGAGTGGGTTGTTACCATCTCATGGCTCAGTATTTTGTGGGCGAGCTTCTTAAAACCGTAACTGATCGTGTTTGAATGGATCTATTTTATTCAAATTAAATATATATTATATCTTAGTAATTCTATAGCATACTTTTAGGCAACAAATGAAAAGAATTTAACTTACCTATTTTATGGATACCTAAATCGCCATTCGTAAGTATAATTGTAAAAAAATAAATAAAAATAAAATATATACTTCCCTCTCTTACCACAACGTATAGCCATTGTGAAATGAAAAAAACAAAACGAGAAACTCGGAAACCCTGCCGAATTGTATTTAAAGTAAATAGTCTGGATTGATGAATTTGCCCATGGGCTTTGAAAATTGTTCATCAACAGGCATTTACTTTGACTATAGTTTTTTCTTGGCAAAAATCATCAAAAAAAAAAACAAAAAATTTAAAGACAAATTTCAAAACCAATTTTAAAAACACCAAAAAAAATGTATATAAAATGTTCCATTTTTTTAAAGCAATTTTCTTCAGTTTAGTTTTTGTTTAAAGTCTACAATTTTTTTTTTTAATTATGGTTTTGTTGTTGATTTCAATGATTTTTTTCTAATATTATTATTTTTTTCAATGTTTAAATGCCAATGCTTTTGAAATTTTTAATTGCCTTCGTTACTGGTAACAAACAATACTAATTGAATATTTTTTCTCTTTTGTCTTTTTCTTTGTTCTTTCCAATACCTCTTCCTCCATTTATGCCATTTATAGTTCGCCAAGAAAATGAACGTTTAATGAAGGAAACCATGGACCGGGTTCGTTTTGGTAAGAATTATACGGAGGCTGCTTCTTCGCTGTTGGCGGCAACTACCTCATCATTGGTCTCGGCGGTGGCGGGTGCTGCCGGAGGAGCAGCGGCGGCAGCTGGCGGTGAGGGGCATCATGGTGAGGCCTATGCCCAACCCTTGGTACCGGAGCCCATGGCATTGATGCTGCCGCCCCAACACCAACAACAACCACACCATATGCCTCATTTGCAACAAATTCCATAACAAACGGAACCAGTGCGGTGGACATGACCGGCCATCAATGACAGCGCCTTAAAGCAACACCAGTGACAACAGTAGCAACAACAACACAACAAGCAGTAGTAATTCTTAATGACCAAAAGCAACAACAACAAACGAGATGATATAATGAAATTAATTTCTTTAATGGATATAAATGTTGACATTGCACAAAAACCAAACTCAAATGACGATAAAGATGACAGCGATGACGACGATGACGATGACGAAGACGAAGACAATGGCAATGATGAAAGACAACGGTATATCATAACAGCAGTAGCAACAACAACAATAATAACAAGGCAGTTGTTAGCCAGTCAGTCAGCCAATCCTGTTGTTGCCCGTCTTTGTGCCACATTTCAAAAGGCAAGGATGCTGGGCAAAATTTAACAACAGCATTGACATCAGCCCTAAAGCTTTCGCATACCAGCAAAAGAAATGTACAAGAAGCAGAAGTAGAAGAATAAGAAGAAACGAACACCTACAACAACAACAACAGCAGCAATAAATGAAAACGTGTTCTATCTCAATTTCACAGTAAATGGCTAACTGTGGGTCCTGCTACCAGGCCATGTGAGTAGGGTGGGGTTACATAACCAGCCAGCCAACCAACCACCCTCTCACCCACCTTGATGACCCAGCAGGCATTCATGTAAAATAGTGTAACACATGCTGACTGAAACAAACACAAAAAGCAATAACAGTAATCTACATATGTATGTGTCAAAATGTCATTTGAGAGCAGCTTTTGCCACGTGATTTGTTTTTTTTTTTTCAAATTGGTATTCAAGGACCATGGTTCATTTGTAATGGGATCTGCATGGGTTCCAGCGGTCCATCTTATGTACAGGCAACAATTGTCCAGCGATTTTTTTTCAATATTGTAAAAAAGTTATGTTAAATTATAAAAATTACTGAACATTTTTGGTAGACATCCTAAAAGTAGGCAATATTTTTTGGTTTAAAGTAATGTTCCAATTTTAGGAAATTCAAAAAGAAAGTATCGTTCAGATTTTTAATATTTAGTATAGTGAGATCTTCGAAATATTTCTATGACTCCGAAAAGTAGGCAACAATTTTGTATATTCAAATATTTTACTTTGATGTGAACATTTTTTTGGTATTGTAAAAAAGTTCTAATAATTTCAATTCAAATTTATTGGGTCTTTAACTGAATATATATTTGGTAAAGATCCTAAAAGTAGACAGTATTTTTTGGTTTAAGAAATAGTTTCAATTTCAGGAAATTCAAAAAAAAAATATCTGCCACATTTGTCCAAATTTTTAATATTTAGCATAATGGGCTCATTGCAATATTTCTATGACCCCGAAAAGTAGGCAACAATATTGCAGGAGTTTTAACGATTCAAATTTTTTGCTTTGAAAGAATGTGAATATTTTTTTGAGTTCTGCTAAAAGATAAAAATAAGACATAGACATCCTAGAAGTAGGCAATATTTTTTTTTTTTTGTTTAAAGAATAGTGCCAATGTTAGGAAATTCAAAATAATCTGCAGTATTTGCCAAGATTTTTAATATTTATCTCGCTCTTTACAATATTTCTATGACCCCGAAATGTAGGCAACAATTTTGCATGAATTTTGGCGAAGAAAATGTTTTAAACACAGAGTATTTATAAATAAATTATTTTTAAGGAATGTGAATATTATTTTGGTGATAAACAAATTAATATATTTTGGGAGTACACCCTAAAAGTAGGCAATATTTTTGTGTCAATTTTCGGGGATTTCAAAACAATTTCTGTAAAAATTTGCCAACTTTATAATACTTAGTATTTTGTAAACTTTTCAAAATATATTTTTTAATTAACCCTAAAAGTAGGCAGCACATTTGTAAAATTTTAGTGAATTTTTACACTGTGAGAAGACAATTTTTAAATATCTAACTTTGAAGTAGCATGCATATTTTTTGAGGATTTAAAAAAATCTTCAAAATAGTAAAGGCAAATATATAGTTTTAGTAAAGATCCTAAAAGTAGGCAATGTTTTCTTTTTAAAGAGATATATTGATTCAAAAATATCTGGAAAATCTTGTCATATGTTTAATACTCTGTATATTGTAATCATTTCAGACTATTTTTTGAACTCCAAGAAGTAGGCAACAATTTTGCATGCGTTTGACGAAGAAAATGTTTTAAACACTGTAAACACTATTTTCAAATAGTTTACTTAAAAGGAATGTGAATATATTTTTGAGTGAGCGGCCAAATGGTAAAAATAACTGAACATATTTTTGATAGACATCCTGAAAACAGTCAATATATTTTGTTTAAGGAAAATTTTAAATTCAAAAATATCTTCAAAATCCTGTCATATGTTTAATATTCTGTATATTTCAAGCACTTCAAACTATTTGCACAATCCCGATAAGTAGGCAACAATTTTGCTCGATTCTTAGTGGAAAAGTAAACTTTTATATAAATCAAGGATTGTAAACCTGTAAAAAGTTTTTTTTCATACATTTGATGATTTTTAAAATAGTTCTCCAAAATAACGGATACTGAAGACAAAGTAATGAAGACATCGTAAAGGTAGTCAATAGTTTTCTCTTTGAAATATCAGCAAAAATCTTTCCTGATTTTTAAAATTCTGTATAATTCAAGCATTTCATTTTTTATTTCTATCACTCCGAGAAATAGGCAACAATTTTGATTACAAAATGATCAGCTCAAATGAGAAATTTATCAAAATTTGATAGAATTTTTGGCGAAGAAGAATTTTTTCGGAATTAAAAAAGTCTATTTCGATACATTTGTGCACTGTTAAAAAATAATAATAAAGACATCCTAAAAGTAGGCAATGTTTTTGTTTCATGAATAATTCAATTTTAAAAAAGTTCAAAATATCTGCAAAATATTTCCTGATTTTTAATATTCAATATATTGCAAGAACTATTTTTTGACTATTTCTATAACTCCGAAAAAAAATTGTTATCTAATTTTGATTAAAATCCTCAGGTCGAAAGAGAAATTTTTCAAATTTTAATATATTTTTTTAATTCTTTTTCGATACATGAGGTGGCTTAAAACATAATATGATGTCATCCATTTTTATTTTTAAAAATGATATAATTTAATAAAATACAAAAATATCTGCAAAATTCTACCAAATGTTTAATATATTAGTATATGGCAAGAATTTCAAAATATTTCTATGACACCGAAAAATAGTTAGGTAGAAATATATTTTTAATAGAGAGTGAAAATTTTTAAGAATTGTAAAAATAATAAGAAGAGCTGAATATATTTAACAAACAATTTGAAGACAGGCAATATTTTATTTCTTTAAAGAAAAATTGCAATTTTTGTAAAATTCAAAAATACAATTTTACCAAATCTCTAACATTTTTAATATTTCAAAATATTTCCATGACTCCGAAGAGTAAACCATAATTTAGCTTGAGTGTTTGTGAAGAAAAACATCCTATAATTAGGTAATATTATTTGTTTTATTTTTTTAATTTTTTTTTTATCAAAAAATAAATGTCAAATTCTGCCCGGCTTTAAAGTTTCGAGTATTTTGCAAAAATTTCCTGTGACTCCGAAAAGTAGGTAATAATTTCAAAGCAGAAAAAGATTTTTTTAGTTGGGGTTTTTTAGAGAGTGTTTTTTATTAAATAAAAATTGACCAGAAAATAAATCAATAAAATGTTAGTAATTATTGGAAATACATTTTTGTGGCTCCTAAAAGTATGCAACATATTCCCAAAATGTTTGGTATTAAAACAGAATTTATTTATTGATTCCTTACTTCGTAAGTAAGCTTCCAATAAGAATGATATCGACCGATTTCAACCATTTTGGCCGTAGTTTAAAACACGGTCTCAACGGTAAGGGGAACCTCCCGTAGGACCAAACCCTTTTTGCTCGATTTTTTGAAAGGTGAAATTTGCCCTATCAGTCCCTCTCTGGCGCTGAAAATGTTTCACACAAAAGTTGTAGTCAATTTGAGCCGCTTTTAACCGAGAGTCATCCAAAATGTCAGACGTACACACACTTAGCTCGACGAGATAAGAAGTCAACAATAACAAAGTTAAACGCCATAAATTTTACATTTTTTTTTTTTTTAATTTTATTGAATGAAGACATTGATGCTATTTCCTGTTGGAAAGTCCAAGATCTGCGGCCAAAATGTTTGCGTACCCAAGGCTTTAATACATTCTCCAGAATATTTTCGCGGTCGATTAATACTAGCGGAGAGCTACCATTGGCTGTTATGCCAGCCCGCACCAATCAAAGGTGCACATTTTCAGCTGACCTCTTTGGCAAGCAAACACGGTCATTTTGTTGACCGTTATACAACGAATTTTTTCTCATCGGTGAAACCCAAATTCGGCAGTTCACCACTTTCGGCCAAGCGAATCAACGCTTTAGCTCTTTTGAGTAAATCTTCTTTCTGTTGCAGTGTAAGTTCTTGCACTTTTTGGAATTTCAATGGCATTACCCCGTTATGTTAACTTGTTACAGGGCATTCTCTTGAAGAAACACCATAATGATCAAACAAAAAGAATTCCCTTAAATTTTGATTTTGCTTACCCGATATCGCTGAAGTTCATGGTATTGAACGTATTCTGGCTTAAATTATTTCTAGGCCCAATTATATTCTTCTTCAACATTCAAAAAGCAAAGGGCATCCCCAGACCTATCTAACAAAACAGAAGCATGCATGTGAACTCATGTTACATGACAAACATATCATTCCGCCTATTATTCCCTCTTTTTTTTCTCTCTCTCTCTCTCTCTCTCTCTCTCTCTCTCTCGTTCTACAAACCTGGCGACATGTGGACAACAAAAGCTTTGATAACAGCCATTTATGTTTCGGCACAAAAAAAGACAAAAACGAAAAAAATAATAAACAAAGCAACCGATGAAAAACAACAGAGACAGTAGGAGAGTCAAGAGCACCTCTCCGGCTAGATAGTGTTAAACCAACAGTAAATTCGGCGTTAACAAACAATATGTATGTATATGAATGTAAGGGTGTAAGTTAAATGTAAACAAATAACAACAACTGCATAAATTATACAGATGTAAAAAGTGCCGGCATGTACAGTTTAAAAAACAACTATCGTTTTTAAACTTTTATAGAGAGATTGTATCAAAAACTCGTTGAGCTGAGAATTTAATAGAATGTGCAGCATAAAAGTGGAGATACATAAGCAAATAGATGGACATGTAAAGGTGATAGTGCATAAAAGGCCTTATTGAGAAAACATAAAACGCTTTTCCGGCTGACTTAAGTCATCGGCTGACTTCTTCGGAAAAGAACAAAGGAGCGTAGGGCCAAAATCGAACTAAGTCGACCTAAAACTTCTCTGTCCTTTTATAAAGAAGCCAGCCGATGGCTTAACCCATAAAGGTGGCAATACATAAAACGCTTTTCTGACTGGCTTCGAGTTTGGCCCTAAACTCCTGTGTTCTCTTAGGAAGAAGCCAGCTGATGACTTAAGCGAGTTGGAGGTTGTTATTATATGTTTTTTTTTAACAATTTTTTTCAAAATTGAATAATTTTTCATTCCAAAATGTCAATTGCAAATTGGGTTTGACAGTTCATTGTTGCAGCCGCTGTGTCGATGCGACTACCTGTATTCTTCTACCATGTGCGATTATCTGTATTCTTCTAACATGGTAAAAGTACAAGGACACGTAGGGCTAACAAGTATTTATATTGGACTAAGTCAACCTATAGCTTCTTTGTTCTTTTACGAAGAAGAAAGCCGATGACTTAAGGGCGAGAATGCATGAGGGTGGAAATACATAAAGCGCATGAACAAAGGAGTTTTAGGTTGACTTAGTTCGATTTTCGCCCTAGGCTCCTTTGTTCAT